TGATTGAACTCAGTGGAGCAGCAGAGCACTGCAGGAGGGATGACTTCTGTCAGACTTTGAAATTCTATGTCACCAGAACTCCTACAAACACAATAACAGGAAAGTAAGATTCCAAAGAGAAGGAGCGTCAGTCACAGAGGGAAAGCCACCTGAATGATATCTGTGCTGGTGGTAGGTCAGTGGTAGGTGTTGCAGAGATAGCCAACACAGGAAATAAGACATATTTGAACAAGGAAAAAACCAAACCAAACCCCCGAAGCTCCAAGGAACAAAACAAAGACATCAAGCAGGGAATGTCAGAACTGAGGGGGCATCAGGCTCTGCCTGACCTGTGGCCTGGTCTCCGTACTGGGCTGTGCCTGAGGCCTTGTGAGCAGGGACAGCGGTGGGGCCCCACACAGGGTGACCGAGAGGAGCACCCACAGTGATGGGTGGAGGACTTCTGTGCACGTGCAAGTCGCCCACAGTTTGTGCATCCCTCACTCCTAGGCAGTGTTGTCAGGGACCCTCTCCTGCTCGTGAACTTGGCAGAGATCCTCTTAACACTGTGCTCAGGAGGCATCAGGGTGATTCTCTGCTTGGCATTTCCTCTCATGGGATCCCCAACTGCAAAGGATGGATATGCCCATCAGAGACACTGAGTTAGAATTAAGGACTTGAAAAATAACAAGACTATAAAATGTAACTTAAATGTTATAGTTAGATGCCATTGAGCCAACTCCAGCTTGCATGACGTCACGGATGACAGGAGGAAACGCTGCCCAGGCTGTGCTCAGACCCATTGCTGCAGGCACTGTGCAGATCCATCTCACTGCTGACCTTAGTAGTCCAAGCACGGTATATTTCTCGAGGGTCGAGCTTCCGGTGGTATCCTCGAATATGTGAGATGAAGTCTCGTGACCACTGCTTCATCGAACGTTGAATAAAGAACATTGGCTGCAGGTCCTCCAGGACTGTGGTTTAGTTTGGACTATTCAGTCTTCTTTGCCACGCGCCACAATTCAAAGGTATCAACTTCTCCTTGATGTACAAACATCATTGTTCAGCTTCACATGCAACTTGGATAGTCTTTGTAGATATTCTTTTTTAATGGTATTTGGCTAATAGAGGAAAAGTGATTTTCAAGGAAAGGCTCTAAGGTATAGTCTGTTCAGATAAAATGAGAGAGAACAGATAGAAGGCACAGGTTAGCAGAGCTCAGCTCACCCTTCCCCGTAGCTGCCTCCTGAAACCTCTTTCTCCTGGACCCAGGTGTGCAGTCACAGTTCTGCCCTGAACCATTTGCAGTCAACAAATCTGTGGACACTTAACTCCACTTTGAGGACATGAGGAAGGTAAGCAAGCTCTGAGCTGGAGCCTGGGTTCCCACATAACGTGTCTGCTGTCCCTCCTCCCCTGTCATGGCTAAGCTGGACTCTATTTCTCAGTCTCTGGCTCCCCCTGCCGGCTCCTCCTGAACTTGCATTGATGCCTGTCCAGCAATGGCTGGCTCTGGGATCCCTAAGATGGGACCTGGTAGGTTGGCACCCCTAGTCTCACCTAACTTGAAATGGGACAGACGACCTGAAGAAAGCCCTCCACGTACCCATGCCCTTAGGAGCACTTCAGCCTTTGCATATCAATACTCCTGAGTCCTTGTCTGGTTCTGGCCTGGTCCCATGACAGGGAAGCGGGATCACTGAGCCAACTCTCTTCCCTCATGGGCACCAGATTGTCCGTGGGGTGTGCAGGAGTGCTCTTCAGAACAGGGAGACTGCAAGAGAGGGGTCTGGAAGATTAGACCAGCAGAGATAGAATGTGTCCACTCAGGGGAGTGGGCTCTGGAAGATGGGAGGACCAACAAGGGTCCTATGTCAGGGAAGGGACAGGCCAAGCACACCCACCCCAGACTACATGGCATGTATAGGAAACATGGCCTATAGGTCCTTCATAGATGGTCACCTCTGAAGGCCACTGTGGCCCTGAGAACATCCCCCATATACTGTCTTACTGTCCACAGTAGCCCTGGGAACATCACCCGTATACAGTCCTCTGTGGCCCTGAGACCATCTCCCGTACACAGTGCACCACGGCCCTGGGAACGTATCCTGTGCACAGCCCTCTGTGGCCCTGGGAATGTCTCCCGTACACGATCCTCTTGCGGCCCTGGGAGCGTCTCCCATGAACAGTTACCTGTATCCTTGAGAACATCTCTAGTGTATGGTGCACTGTGTCCGTGAGAGCACCTCCCATGGACAGTCTACTGGGATTCTGAGAATAACTCTTGTGTACAGCCCACCATGACTGTCATGAACAGTGCACTGTGGCCCCACGAACCTCCTCCACAGACAATCCACTGTGACTCTCAGAACATCTCCATGGATGGTCCACTGTGACACTGAGTACATCTCCCACAAGCAGTCCAGTCTGACTCTGAGACTATGCTCCATGGACAGTCCATTGTGACCCAGAGAAGATCTCTGATGGACAGTCCCCTGTGAGCCTGAGAGCATCTCCCATTGTCCAGTGTCCCTAAGAATATCCCCTGTGGAGAGTACATGGTAACCCTAAGAATATGTTTCATGGACTGTCCAGAGTGTCTCTAAGAAAAACCCTTCTGGATGGTTGACTGTGATCTGGGAACATCTCCCGTGGACAGTCCTTCTTGACTGCTGTCTGCTCCTGTCTTTTTTCTGTCACGGGGAAACTCCTTACAGATATCAAGCTCTCACAAGCCCAGAACGAATGAATGGTGTCTGGGCAAGAGTTGCACGGGCCTTAGTCGTGGGAAGCCTGGGGTTGAGAGGTTCTGGGTGTGGTCTTTCCTGGTAGAGGAGAAGTGTCCCTCTGGAGTTTGTGTAATGCCCTGAATCTGGACTCTAGGGCCACCCAAATTGAGGACTGTTTTCCCTGAGACCTGTCTACACTCAGGTAGGAGGGGACCCCTCTCTACACTCAGGTGTGTGAGGACCCCTCTCTGTGCCTGTGTGGGAAGGGACCTCCCTCTACACTCATGTAGGTAGGGACCCCTCTCTGTGCTCCTGTGGGCGGGGACCCCCTTCTACACTCAGGTGTGTGAGGACCCCTCTCTGTGTTCGTGTGGGTGGGGATCTCTCTCTACACTCAGGTGTGCAAACACTTCTGTCTATAGTATGGTGGTTGAGGACCCCTTTCTACCTGGGATGGGTGGATAGCCCTCTATCTACCCTCCATGGTGTGAGGATCCCTCTCTACATGTGAGCGGAGACCCCTCTTGGTCCACATGTGGGTGGGTGAAGGACCTTCATGTGCACTATGTAAGCATCCCTCGTTACGAATGGGTGGAAGGGTGATTACCTAGGGTGGTACTTGCTATGGGTCTTCAGACTGTGCAGTGGAGAAGTGAGTGACTCCCAGGGCACCTGCTACTGATGTACAAGGGATGAATGGGACCCCTATGCCCCTGACTGTGGCTCACACGGGGCAGGGACAAGGATGCAGGGGTCCCCAATAGCTGTTTCAAGCCTGGGTTCTGACAGTGCACAGGCAGTCTGTGTGATCCCTGGGGCCTCCCACACCCACATATAGAGAGGGGTCCTCCCCCACCCGCATATAGAAGGGGTCCTCTCCCACTCACATATATAGATAGGGGTCTTTGCCCACCCACATATATAGAGAGGGATCCTTCCCCATCCACTTACAGAGAAGGGTCCTCACCCACACCTCAGCACACTCTGCTCTAAGAGGCCACACACCTGGTGAGCTCCCTCTTAGTCCAAAGCAACGGCGCAATTAGACTGACCAGGAAGCTGGAGCATTCACAGGGCATAGTGGTCACCTGGCAGTTGGAGGAAGTTCCATGTGGGAAGGACATGGCACCGGAGGTGGTGATGAGACCTCAGAGGGAAGCTCTGACAGGGCAAGCTTTATGCTTCCAACTGGCCCCTGTGCCCTGGTAAGCAGACAGGCAGGAGGGAATGGAGAGGGCAGAGTGGCTGTGCAGTTGATGACCACAAGTGCCCTTGCCACTGCCTGTTTGCTTGGCCTTTCATGGGGTCTAAGAGTCTGGAGGACAAGGACCCCACTGGCTGATCTGTGGGTACGACGGAGTGTCCACCTGGAGGTGGCTGCTGCTGTGGCCCTGGCAGACACAGCGTCTCAGGTGAGTACACTCATTGCCCCTGTGGAGTGACAGCCCTTTTCCGGGTCACACCAACCTGAGCAAACAGCAACAATGTGCGAGAGAGGTGAGTGGCTCAAGGGACGAGCACCCAAGGCTGAACACATGGGTGTTTGCATCCGGTGTGACTCTTGCGGCGAGAGGAGGCATGAGCTATGTGTGCCTCGTGTCAATGCAAAGCAGGTGGGCAGCAGGGGCTTGCTCAGGAAGGGGCTTGCTACGTGGAGCTTTGGCAAGAACACACAGGAGCTTGAAGTCTAGGCATGAACCCCATGCTGTGCACAAGCCCTGGCTACAGACCCACAGAGGACAGTGGTCGCCAGGATCCTGGGGTGAACACACTCAGGAGTGAGAAGGTATGGTCAGCACCACCCCAGGGTTGACCACATATAGAGAACCACACCAGAAAGCACTGTGCGGCAGACACCTGGCCTCTAGACATCCTGTCCATCTCCATCAGAGGAAGAGCCGTGGACACAGATATTGGACGCACAGCTTTAGATTTTATTGAAGCAGGGATTGCATCCTAGGTTACAAAAGCAAACAGAGAAGGGGCAGACCAAGAAACTGCAGACTAGAAATTCTTAGAACACCAGCTAAGAGAAAGTCTTTACAGGAAGAGTGAAGCAATTAAAGCCATTTCAATAGAAACTCAAGCTGGTCCAATATGTAAATTAAATTCTGAAAAAAAAAAACCCATAAAAAATAACAATACTGGGGTCATCCTTTGTGATGCAGTCCATCCTGGGGTGGGGCCACACGGGGCCTGTGGAGGGGTCTCAGTCTGTGTCCTCACGTGCCCTGCATGTCCCTCTCAAGACAGCGTGAAAGATGCTGGAAGAAGTCCTGTCGCTGCAGGTGCTCAGGAGGTGAGCTTGGAGTAGCTGGGAGGTGACAGCTTTCGCTTAAGGTACTTTAGGATGTAGAGGGGCAGGCAGCTGACCACCGTGATGGCTGACACTTTCCACAGGAAGGTCAAGGTTGTGATGAAGGCCACATCTGTAGGGAGGGATACAGTCTGTAGCCTTGGAGCACACAGCACCCCGCCAGTACCAACAGGGTTAGAGTGCTGTGCAGGAGGGCATGGGGTCTGGTGCCCACCTGCTCATGTCCACCAGAGCCGGCGGATTCCCTCACACGGTTTAACTGCCCTCACCTGTCCTGTACGGAGGCGCTCGACTGGAGAACGTGCAGTAGGGCCTGGAAGACCCTGCACCTGACAGCTGGTGATGTCAAACACCTGGTGTATTTACCCCTCATTCATTTAGATGAACATCAATTTTTCAGGCCGACTGGACGTTCTGGGTGCAGACGGCAGCTTAGCTTGCAGCTCAGTGCGCCTGTGCACATGGTTGTACCTGACCGCACCCACCTGCCAGGACACACACTGTCCAAGTGTACAGGCCCTGGGAGTGGTCACACTGTGCGCAGGGAGCCACCGTGGGAACCTCCTGGGTCGTTCCCACTCGTGCTGTGCTGGGACACGCACAGTCCCGTAGAGTGGTCCCCGAGCAGTGACACAGCCCCTCCCCACGCCCTCGGCTGGGGAAGCGGCAGACGCTCTGAAGCTAGCATTTTAGGACGCAGTGGGGTAAGAGCAGACAGCCCAGCTGACGACACAAGGTGTGAGTGAGGAGCAAGGAACAGAGAGGGTTTCCTCGCTGTAACAGAGCCTCATCAACTCTCCGCCGACTTCCTCAGTCTCCACTCTTGAAAGAAATGAGAACGTCACTACCTAAGAAAGCTCCCAAGGACACTCTGCCTAGACCTGTTCCAAACGGAAGGGGCAAAGAAAACACGACTGGTTAGGGAGCAGCTGACACAGAGGCGGCTACGGGCTACAGGAGATTCGAACCTCTGACAGCTCTGATGGAGGCAGATGGGCTGTCCCCTTTTGTGAGATTTACAACCTCCTGACGCCCACTGGAGGGCCAGTCAGGAGTCAGTTCAGACTAGATGACAGTGTGAGCATTTTCCTTGTCATTTAGAGGCGCGTCACCACACCCTCCTCTGGACTAGATCTGAACAGCCTGAGTCAGCAAGTCTCCTCAGAAACACACCCAAGAGGCTAGAAGGCAGTGGCAGGATGAACAAGCACAGGTGTACACACGGCAGCCAAAGGGGGAAGTGACCAAGTCCTGCCGCAAACAATGGACAAGCTCACAATGGCCCCAGCCAGCCAGGAGAGATGAGGCCATGGTGCCCGCAAAGCAGGGATGAGCCGGCAACAGGCTGTGCGAGGCGAGCCTCGGGGTGACAAATGCCATGTAAACCCACTCCTGTGCCAGTAACACAGAGGGCCGAGCTTGCTGGAGGCCAAGAGGGGCGGGAGGAAGAGCGGGGACCATGCAGGAATGGCCACGCTGCTTGTGGAATGGATCGCTGTCACACAGCTGGGGTGCAGACATGGTTGTGTGCATTTTTACAACAAAACCCTAATTCAGGGTGAGACACAGGGCACAGAAGCCCTTGGGTTCCTGAGGGCTGTGAGCGGGGGCACTGTGCCCAGCTGGCCTGCTGCCGTGTGAGCTGGCTTTGGTCAAGGGCTGTGAGGGGCTGTCATGTTCCACCAAAGACAGCCAGGCAAACCCTGAGGGGGGCTGATTGCGACAGTGAGGACTGTGGCCAACAGTCACAAAGGACAAGCGTGTGCAAACGCCCATGAACCCTTGCTCAGGAAAGGTGCTCCCCCACTCACCAAAGTACTCGTTGAGGAAGGCGAGGGAGGCCAGGTAACAGCCGAGGCTGAGGAACTCGGCCACCACCATCAGCCAGTGCCATGTGCGGATGGTCAGTGCCACCATCAGCAGCTCCGTCAGGATCAGCGCTGTGAAGGAGATGGCCACCACATGCACGAACTCCGACTCGAAGAGAAGTAGTGCCCCGTACATGAGGATGCCACCTGCGGAGCGCGGGTACGGAGGCTGTTGCTGGGCACTGCGCACTGAGGACACAGCCTGCTCTCGGCGGGGAGCTCGCCATGGACTCTGGGTGTGAGTGAGGGGGACTGTGGGAGGCTGGCATGCCCTGAGGGTGTCCTGTGGGCACTTCCAGGGTGGAGCCAGCTCCTTGGAGCAGGGGGCACACCTGATGCACCTGTCACACTTCCAACATCATGTGTGGATCTACACCTACATGCAATCAGACCCCAACAATACTCACACGACACCACCAGACAAGGTATCTGCATGGTCTCATGTCATGGACTCCCACCATCACTCCAGAGAGCCACGGGGCAGGTGACACCTGGTGTCACGTGCCTAGTGTGCTTCGGACCAGCACTCTTCCACACTGGTGACGAGGAAGGAGCAGGGCCAGGCCTGCCACGCAACCTGCGAGAGGTCTGTGCCTCATCTGTGGCTGTCTACCGTGTCCAAACTGGAGAACGGGCCGGTGGGGAAGACAACACGCCCAGCAGAAGATGAAGGGATTCACTGGTCTCTTACCTTGGTAAATGCTGATCAGAACCCAGGTGAGGAAGGTCTTGAATGACAAGGATCTCCCCTAGGACAGCAGAGGACCGCGGGGTTAGCAGAGCGGAGTCGCCTCAGCAGCGGGCACCTACCTAAGTCTCTAGTCTCCATACTGGCTCCCACACTCGCCTGACTGCTGACCTGTCGCCCGTCCGGAGGGCGTGGCCACTGTCAGCACACAGCAGCCAGATGACATGGGACAAGGGGATGCGCCTGTGTCCACCAGCACCGGGACGGCTGCTATGCTGACTTCTCACAATGAGTCTCCATGAACCTCCTGACCAACACCCTTGGGGCCGCAATGCTCACCCACGGCTGTCAAGCTGGCCTGCCTTCTGGGGCTCGCGTGCACTCACCTTAGTGAGGTCCTTGTAGAGCTCTGGGTACAGCAGGGCGGTCTCTGGCTTCACGTCCTGGTCCAGCACTAGTGAGAAGACTGGAAACATTGTGTATATGGTTGCGTACCTGGACATGAAAGGAGAAATAAGGCCCAGCCATGCAAACAGGTTAGCTCCCGTGGCAGAGTGCTTTACACGCTGGGCTAATGGAGTGGTGGCTGGTTCAATACCACCAGACACTCTACAGATGAGCATCGCCCTCCTGGAAAGACTCATGCCAGTAGCTGACGTGTGGTGGCCATGTCAGAATTCATGTGAGGATGTGTTTCCACTTGTTTTTTTTTAAATGGAAATAAGATACAGCATGCAAATACAGTATAAACATATCAAATATGGTGCAGCTAAGGGGTGGTGACGTGCGGTTCACTCACCGTAAGCAGTGATCCTATGAACAATGGCTCTGACCTTTGCTCTATTCTGAGCCAAGCTCATCCTCTCTAATGGAGAGGTATGCAAATGTGGCTAGAATTTAAGGTCAGACTCATAAACCACTCCAAGAACCTAAAAATTATAAAGTTGCCAGCCAATAAGACTAGTACTAAGCCCTAACGTTTACCTCACAGCACAACACACTCTATGTGATAAATGCTTTTATTGCTGTTGTGTGTCATTGACCAGGACCAACCCACAGCTGACCCTCCAATCACATGAGAGGAGACTGCCCATCTTCTCCTGGGGAGCAGCCGGTGGACTCAAACTGAGTGCCTTCAGGACTGCAGTGCAGCTTCATACTACTGGCCACCAGCGCTCCCTAGAAATATTTATAGTTAAGTAACCTTTTTTAAAATAAGCTTTTCATCAGGAAGTAATTACAGATGTTGTGATGTTCTAAGAATGAATGCAGATCCCTTAGTGGTGGTATCTTGGGCAACCCACTATACCGACAAGAAACTGACACAGGTGCGTGCCTGAAAGTAGACCTACAGGCAGCCCTCCTGGTACCTGGTTATGCCAACCCCTGAAGCCCTGCAGCCATGGATGTGGTCTCCATCTCACCACCTGTGTCCCTGTGGACCGGCAGGGGTAGGAAGTCACCACCGGGGCCTCAGTGCTGCTCTGCCCCTCACAGTGGCGCCAAACCCGTTACGAGTATTGACCGTGGGCTTGTACTGCTGCACAGTGGTCTTCCACGTGCAAACCTGAGCTATTTCACTGGTTAGCTGGAGAAACACCACTGAGAGGGGGCTCTACTTTGGGATACAGCAAAACCCCTGACAATTCACTGCATGGTCTTCTGTTTGAACAAATGCTGAGGAGCAGTACCGTTGGGTTGTATGCTGTGCAGCTGGAGCACTAAAAGCTGCCAAATGGTTTTCTTGAGCCGCTGACCTGCTTACTGTCTCACCAGCAATGCGTGCGTGGCCCGGATTCGACCATCCTCTCAAAGCTGGGGACCGTTACAGACCTACGATGGAGTGGTCTGACAGGGGCTGTAAGCGCTGACCAGGCTGTGACATCCTCCCTGTGGTAAGGAAGTTGGCACTGCGTGGCATCTCTGTCTGCACTGCCCCTTGATGAAGTAGGTTCACTTCTGTCCATTTCCTGCTCGACTGTCTGTACTCTGGAGGTTTCGTTTTCTCTGTAATTTGCGACAGACAACTGCCACTTGTTCTGTCTCTACCTAATATTTTCAGACCCTCCACAGGATTTTTCACTGAGCAAACACTTTAAATGAGCAAGCAGAACCACGGCTTGAATTCTCAGGAGCTTACTTCTGTCTGGTCTAAGACTTGCCTGACCCTAATACTTGAGGATCTTCTCTTGGACTTTTTTCCTTCATGGCTTCAGTGTATACTCTATTTAAAATAATGTTATCAACCAGGGTTCTCCAGAGGAGGTGAACTGATAATTTACTCATCAAGTTGTTTTATCACTTCTTGGGAGTCGGGGCAGATTTCTCAAGATCACAGAGGAGGATTCCACACCTTGCAGCTGCCTGGAGTGCTCTGCCCTCTACTGCTGGCATGCCTTTCAGGTGGCCTGGATCTTGAGGTTCCCGACATAGGCTCATCCACTACTGATAATTTGCTCATCTGAGAGTAATTTACCTGAGTGACCCCTGGCTGTTGTTTACATGGAGTTTCTCTTCCTGTCCTTTTACTCAGCTAGTCTCGGTGTCAAGTGGGTCTCTAATACCTAGTGTACCGCTATTTACTTTCGTCTACTTGGCTAATCTCTGTTTTAACTGGTGTTTTGTTTTTGGTTTTTTTGGGGTAACTTCTATTCAGTGTGACTGATGTGATGTTGTGTTAGGATGCCAGCGCTCTGGATTGTTGCCTTGTGTCTGCACTCTGATTTTCCTTTCTCATCCTGCACCCCCCTCCCCCCCCCCCCCCCTTCTGGTCATTACTGGAAGGAGAAAGTCGTGCATGCTGTGCTTAAAATACAAACTGTTCTTCAAATATGACTAAGTAAGTTTCTATACTTACTTGGTGGAGGAAATACCCTGATCCGAACGGTGGTTTTCCCCAGTGAGGCTCATCCATGGCACTCCACATATGCTGACCCCTGCAAGGTCCTCCAATGTGGGAAACTCAACTGTATAATGTGTGCTAGTGAGAGATTGTGTGTGGGGGAGGGTAAGTTTCTGTCTTTTCCAAATTCTTAAAAATTGTACATTAGCTCTTATAAACCATATTGTGGCCATATAAAGATTTTTACAATTGAAAAAAAATTGTTCTTCAATCCAATTTTTTTAAAAAATATTTTTTCCAATTAACGTTCATATAAGTCTTTGTACAAATGTGTTTTCACTGTTGCAGGTAAACTCTGGGGAGTAGGACTGCCCTGTCACGTGTGTTTAATTTAGAAAAGAGGAGTGAGCTGGTTTCTGGGCGTGTGCCATGTGGTTTATGGAGCGTTGTAGCTGGTCCACGTTGTGGCCATTGCCATGAGAGTGGCATCTCACTGTGACTTAAGTTATTCTTTTCCTGAGGACAAACAAGGTGAATATATCTTCATGTGCCTACTGGTCTTCTCAAATCTTCCTTGGAGATGAAAGTCCTGATGTCTGCCTGTTTATAGAGCATTAGGCTGGCTGTCCCCACTGGGCGAGAAGTCATTCTATCTTCATTGTACTTTCTCCTGGTCTGCTTGTCCTTTGTTTCACATAGACCTCACAGGAACAAACATTTACACTATGAAGTCCATTTTGTCAGGGTTTTACTTTGGACTGTTGATAATTCTGGCAGTTCCGTGGCCTGAGTTCTAGTGCTGCCACCCCATATCCTGAGGCTCTGGGTTCCGATGCCCACTGTCCTGAGGCTCCGGGTCCCGATGCCCACTGTCCTGAGGCTCCGGGTTCCAATGCCCACTGTCCTGAGGCTCTTGGACCTGGAGCCTCAGCACAGTGGGCATCACCTGGTTTCAGAAAGGCCAGCCTAGGCTAATGGATATGATGTCCACAGGACACACCCAGCAGTACTGGCCTGGCCTGCTTCATCTGTGTGGATGGCATGCCCATGTGTCCATGACTGCTGAGTTCACAGATCCCTGGGCATTTCCCAGGCCTGCTGACTGCTGCTGTCCCAGAAGCTGTCCACTCAGATTCGTGGTTGTAAAGACATCATGTTTTCCCCATGCTGATTCCTCCCGCCTCTTCTGGGTGAGAACAAGACTGATTTTGTGAATTATTTTTGTTTTTGTAGTAACACCTAATATTTATCGGCTAACAGCCAGGGACTGGTGAAATCACAGTGCTCGCTGGTCCAGCTCAGGGAAGGCGAGTATGCATTGGTGCTACACACACTGTACAGTCAGTTGTAGCTTACTGTCCATTTCCCAAGGGGCCACCCCAAGAGCTGAGACCCAAGATGCAAACCCTGCAGAGGCCTGGTCCTGAGCCACAGTTAGGACTGCCTGCCGCGGGCTAGGGCCTCAGTTATGTGCAGCCTCCTGCTCCTGCCTGCGGTTACCCAGCAATGTGTGCTGGAGGCTCAAAGGCAGCACCACAGCCTCTGGTCTCCACCACCCACACTTCAAGTTCAGGGCACAACACACAGGGTACAACGCCAGGACTGTGGAAGCCTCATGCACTAATGCCACCGTGAGGTCCTTTAAACGCACTGGGCTTTCAGAGAGAGCAGGCTGTGCCATCAACTCGCAGACAAGCGACCCACGCAGGAGCCATTGCCACGTGGCCCAGATGGCCCTTTAAAAGACCTAAATGCTTGATTTTAAAAATAGGGAAGAAAGTGAAAATAGTGTGCTGCTTTTTGAAATCTGAGAACCAACAGCACAGATCCCAAGTGCAGGTGGCACGACTGTGCAGGTGGCACAATTGCAGGTGGCATGACTGCAGGTGGCACGACTGTGCAGGTGGCACGACTGCTGTGGCACAACTGCATAAGTGGCACAACTGAAGGTGGCACAACTGTGCAGGTGGCACGACTGTGCAGGTGGCATGACTGTGCAGGTGGGATGACTGCGCAGGTGGGATGATTGTGCAGGTGGCACAACCGTGGGAAGCTGGCACCAGCTGAAAGGAATTGGCATCCTAACCACAGAACTGCTCAGACAACAGAAGCGTCCAAAGAGGAGTGTGGCTTCTGAAGTACGACAGAGGACGCTTATCAGCTGAGGATGCTGGGACCAGTTGTGGGGCTTCATATATGTGACCAGGCCATGGCTGGGCAGGGCTGACTTGCTCACAAAACACAGGGGAACAACTATACCCATAGAAGTCACAAAGGTAAGGGGCATGTGACCCGGTGTCCTGATAGCACACAAGACCTACTGCTCCAAGACCACACAAGGCTGAGAAGGTCACCACCAGGAGAGCTTGACCCCTGCAGCCATCTGTCAGTCTGGTGTGCTGTGGTGGTGGAGCCGGGCCACAGGCGTTTATATCCAGCAGGGTTACCCAAGCTGACTGGGTTTCAAGAGTTTCCAGACTGAGACAGACAGGGGAAGGGCTGGTGCGGTCCTTTCCGAACTAGCCAGTGGACCTGTGGAGCACAACTGCGTGTGTGAGCGTGACTCACCCGACCATCAGGAAGCCCTGGTACAAAGGGACCGAAGCGAAATAGAAGACTGAGGAGAACACGGCCTGCAACAGAGCAGCCAGTCAGCAGAAGCAGTGCGCTCTCCCAGGCCCGCCTGCTGGCCACACTGCAGCGCAGGAGGCATCCTCCCACGTGGGCATACACTCAGGTGACATGAGCCCCCTTCCAGTGATCAGTCAGGTGACACCCTCCTCCCTCCCTCCACATGGTCACGCAGTCAGACTGGGCACCCCCCCTTCTGTGTTGGGGTCCCCCCCCCCCCGTACCTGCATAGTAGAGATGATCAGGCCCCTGTGCATGACGAACTGGCCCAGGGCTGCCGAGCGCTTGTAGCTGTTGCGGCCATGCACCATGAGCAGCCGGCCGATGTGCTTGAACTGCGTGATGGAGAAGTCTGCTGCCAGCGAGGCCTGCTTCCCCTCCTGGGGGCAGAGAGAGCACGCCATGTCGCCCCGCCTGACCGCAAGGTGGACAGACCTCCCTCAATGGTCATTCCTCAGTGTCTAACAGCAGGGCTGACCCATGACACATGTGTGGAGGGGACAACTGATCTGAATCAGAGACAGCTGTGCCTACAAATCATACAAGCTGAGAAAGACCAGATGCCTTGGGGCTGATGCGAGCTGGGCCGCAGGACAACTCTGGACCTCAGCCACCTCACAGGCAAAACCCAGCTGGCTGCAGCTCCCAAGTGGCAAAGAGTCCTGCAGGACAGGTCAGGAAGGGACGGCAGATGGGCTGGTCTTGAATGACTGTACAGTGCTACACGCCAGGGTGGCGCAGTCCTCTTGAAGGAAGTGAGTCTCCAGGCCTCTGCCTCTCCCCACCCCCTATCCCCTCTCCTCCCATCTCCCACCTCCCTCCTTTCATCATCCTCTCCCCTCCTCCATCGCTCTTTCCTTCACATTTCTGCCATTCTCTCCCCACTGTGCCTCCTTCCACTGCCCCCTCCCTACCCTTCTCCCCCTCCCATCTCCACCTCTCTCCCCTCATCTCCATCGCCCTCTGCATCCATCTCCCCATCTCCATTCCCTACCCATCCCATCTCCATCCCCTCCCTCTCCCATCTCCATCCCCTCCCTCTCCCATCTCCATTCCCCTCCCATCTCCATCCCCCCTCCCATCTCCATCCCCCCTCCCATCTCCATCCTCCTCCCATCTCCATCCCCCTCTCCCATCTCCATCCCCCTCTCCCATCTCCATCCCCTCCCTCTCCCATCTCTCTCTCATCTTCATCCTCTCCCCCTCCAGGTCCTCCCCTCCATCTCCATTCCCTTCTCCCCTCTATCTCGCTCTCCTCTCCATCTCCCTTGTGACTAAGCCTGGTATGGCAGAAAACCCCAGAATCCTGAACTCTTTCTAGAGAGACCCCTGCTTCACAAGATGATGAGTGAGGAGGAGGAGGTATACGGAGGATCAGAGAGTCAGGGTTAGGGAGTCTAGGGTGGGAAGCCCTAGCAGGGTTGTGGGTCCCAGAGGAATGTATTGCTTTGCATGGAACACCCCTAGGCGAGCTGTGAGAGGTTCACATCATGCAGAAGGCAGACTGTACCTTTCCCTCGATCCCGATCCCACAGTCCGCGGCTTGGATCATGCTGACGTCATTTCCTCCATCACCTGAAGACAAGCAGGGACAGAAAGAAGCTGCTTGTAAGGTGGCCTTTGTCATAGGACTGATTCCATGCTGAGAAGCCACCCACTGGCCTTTCCTGCAACCCTAACCCTAAACCTATGGCCCTTCTTCTGAAGCCCCTTGGGTGGACCAGGGCCTCCTACCCTTGGTCAGCATGAACACCTGCACACCAGGCTGCCCTTCTAGCCAAAAGCTGGACATGGCTCTGGACACAGAGGACACAGGCATGTGTTACAGATTAAATATCACTTTGCCTGTAAATTTCAGAATTATCACTTAAAACACTGTTAAGCATAGGAAACGCTTTGGAGGTGACAGCTCAAGTTCACCTGCAAGTGCAGGCAGCTGTTTCTGCTGCCCAGTCGGCTACCCTGTTCCTGCCCCCAGGTGCCCATGCCCTGTGCTGACCAACCCTTCACACACACACACACACGTGCCTGTGTGCTGACCCCCACCTGAGCCCGGCCCAGGTGCTGACCACTCCCTTCACTTTCACCTGTGCCCACCTGGGTGCTGACCACTCCCATCACCTCCACCTGTGCACGCCCAGGTGCTGACCACTCCCCTCACCCCCACCTGTGCCCACCTGGGTGCTGACCACTCCCCTCAC